GTCAGGTGCGGCATCTTTTCGGCGGAAGACGACGAAATAAAGGTGATTCGCACAAAAAATACCTAAACCCGCCGCAAAAAGCACCATCAACCTGGTGCTACTTAGTTCCCTCGCGGATGCACCGACGGTTCATTCATTAGGCGAGGTTCGTGGTGTCTGATGTTGGCACAGTCACGCACATAAAAAAACGCTTTCTGCGCCACAGCATATGTGCACTGCGTATTGACCTGTTCGCCCAGCTTGGCAATTGGCTTTCAAACGTCTCGGCACCTGCGCGGTTGGGTGGGTGCATCTTCTGACTCTGCTTGCATCTACATAAATTCTAAGGCCAGCATCCATACGTGCCCCCGTGAGAATCAAATTGGCTTAAGTAGAGCCCAAGTTTGACGGAAACTCGGGGATTGCGCCTAGTGATGGGCTGCAATAGGGTCATCAAAACGAAATTCCATCAGGATAACCACTGGGCTACATGGGCCGGTCTGAGAGCAGTTTTTGTAGTCAGGTTTTATCCTGACTTGCTTTTAAGTCCAATCTTCACATCCCAAAAGTTAGGAACAGTGATTTTCAAGACAACGATTTCTGTGCGGAGGATAGTGTCAAGAAAGTACATTTCTGTGGGTTGCCACTGCGAATCGAGACCCTCCGCTTGAATACAAAGCAGCCTGAGGTTTAGGGGGACGTCGTGCGCACGGTGAGTTTGAGAGGGAACTTGCTATACGGGTCACACGATATTCTCATGTGTGCGATTTACTCAAGTAATATGAATTGAAATCAACAAGAGTCCTCGCCGGCTTAATATTTAACTGTAGCACTACTCATACTCGGATACGATAACCCTCAACCAAGTTAGATGACCTTGAAAATCACGTGCATCCGATGGTGAGCAGTTGTATTGAAAACACTAGTAATAAGAACGCGAAACGGGGCAATGTGGAACAAGCAGTTCTGCATGTCTGTGTGTGTGGGTGTAAAGGTAGGGTTGCGACGAATTTTTTAGTGAGTCGTACGGCAGCGTGTTTGGCAGTTCCAGAGAGTTGACGGCCAAGTGTCTGTTCGGGCTTGGTATAGGCGGAGGTGAAAGGTGTGGACATGACAGCAATTAGTGATGCGCAGGGGAGCAGGCCCGAGGTCAGTTGTTGATGTGGCAGATAGATGGGCGGCAGTATTAATTCGTATTCAAGCCCATTAGTGTGGTCAATTCTTTCGCGTCCACTTCTGATAGAAGTCCTGTTCAGGTGAGAGGGAGAGAGAAAGGATAGCATGAGTTCATTCTACGAAATAAGTGTACATCAGATGATGCGCTTCGCATGTTAAAAGGTATTCAAGTTTAGTCTATTTCTCTTATTCGACTACTCTTCTCGCAACGTTCTTCTTGATAGTATGCACAAGAGTGGAACTTCATTCCGTTCACCTGAGGCATCATCCATTTTCGAAAATACACTCATTCGCATACCAAATCCGAGCAATTTGGGTTCAACTAGAACATAAAGTTGACGGAAACTCAGAGACTGGGCCAACCTGACAACCTTCAAGAAGGGCGAAACCGGTCGTGGGCTGTTGAAAGGGTTTTCAACCATCCTGTGAGTAGTTTTATCCGGAGGCCAGCCACCCCCTATTAACCTAACAGCAGGTCAAACGGGCGGATATGTCACGTGCGGGCTACGGACCAAACGAAGGCATACCTGAATGGAATGTCAGCCAATCTAGATCGAGCTCGACGCTTCTCGCTCCCTCGCGAAGATTCCAGGACGAACTTGTGGAACATTCTGTGATTACCCCATAAATACAGTTGTACTAACCTTCCTTTGTCCCCATAAAAGGCTGCCTGAAGATACCGTGCCTTTTGATATACCATGGTGGGTGGAGAACGAAGCCAAGGGACTGATACCGAGCTACACAACCGTTCGACAAGTCATCATCACCCACTTTGTTTGAAAGCAACAGAGTCAACAACACGATGGCATGGCGAGCCGAGCATTGTCGGACACTGTGATGTTGGCCCGTCGAGATGCCTAAGGGTGGTGATGGAGTACCAACATTCCCTAGCTCCTCAAAAAAGTCACATACTGGTCAAACACCACCCTAAGGGACGCAAAAAGTGATCTCTATCTAAGGAGTTGCTCAGTCGAACTGCGAATTCATCTTCTAGTTGTGTGTCCTTCTATGTACAGTGTCGTCCCAACAGAGAACTGTGATGGGTCGCGACGGAAAAAGCGGCCGTTTCACAGAGACAGCCTCTTCCGCAAAGTAGTCATTGTGCTAAGGATGTTTTAATCGCCTTAATTCTATCACAGGCAAATTCATTATCGAAGAATTTCGGCCAACTCAGCCATAATGGTAAGATATCGGCCACAAAACAAACGAAGGTCTTGACGACAGAGCAGTAGTCGCACACCACACGTAAAGTGGATACGTCCTGGATGGATAAATGCACCACCAATGAGGTGGCATGTATGCACAGGGTCTCGCAGGCAAACTCGAACTAAAATCACGCACTACCATTTATCCAAGCAACTCACTACTGTGAGCAAGCCCAATTACACTGCCATCCGAAGGCGAGAGTATCTGATCTTCCACATCAACACGGACAAGGAGCGACAGCCGGTCATTAAACTCGTTGATGGTTGGTGCCATTGATACTTCCAGATGGGTGGTGTCCCCCAAAACCTGCTACCTTCACTCTACCCCCATGAACTTGAAAATCACACACGTGCAGGTAATGTAAACTTACCAGTGACATCCAGAAATTCTTCCAAAGAGACGATAGGTAACAAATCTGTCTGATAGTAGTTCAGGAAGCGCGGAACGGCAGCCAATAAGGCTTCGTCTGAAGTGCTGATATACTGGGAGAGTGAGGCACACCAACTGCTGCTTGAGCTCGCGGCGCCAGCTCCAGCCGGAGTACCAGCGGCGGATGAGGTGGATATATTCTGAAAAGGAACACAGGAATCATGAAGGGATGAGTTGGTGTGAGGTTACACTTGGAGTTATTGGATTCGTCACGACACTGACACCTACGCTTCAACGCCCCATTAAAAAACCATCTAGTGAAAAACAAACGGGACAGGAAGCTCCTATCCACGAGGAAAAATTTGCCCGAGGTGAAGATCTTGGCAACATGAGACACTCGGCTGTGTTCTGCAAACTGTATTGCTCAGCAAACTCAGCTGAGCTCCCTGGATGGGAAGGCTGAGACACAGCCCAGTCGCGACCTCAATGGCGCTCGTGCATGCAAGCTACTGACTTCAATGCATAGCTCTCTCTCCCCCCCCCACTTAAAAGTCCACTGACACCCTGTATTTACGAATCAATTACGTCAGCTCCCGCCCCAACTCCCGAAATCATCAGCGAACGAAACTACGGAAGTTATAACCACTGTACAACAAGTATGCGGTTCTTACAGCTGAAACTAATGATTTTTATTCATTTAATCCGGCCTGACCGTTGCTACCGGCTACACCGATACACATAAGTGAATCCGACGCGATCGAGGGAGGAATTTGTTCTAGGTCGGACGTACAGAAGCTGCAGTTGAGTGTGATGTACGCCGAGCAAAACGGCCAGTCAAAGTGTTGGGACATGCGGAGAGAGTAATCTAAATTGGATGATGGGGTAGAAGAGGGAAAACTTGAAAGTACCAGTAGCCTGTTTTCGCTTACCAACATCGCTGTATGGAGCAAGTAAGGCGCCCCAGCAGGTGACACCACGCAGCGGACAATGTGGCATGAGAGTACTGTTAGTTGTAAGTGTCATGGTTGTACGTAGGCTGGGATACTGCCAAGACACCCAGACAACTAGGTACCTCGACCAAAGCCTGACCGGAAGGCAGCGGTGTTTGGCGGGAAATGCAAACGCATTAGCATTTTTACGGAACAAGTCGCCCCACGTGTTCAAAAAGCCCAACCTGGAGGGCCAGGAAACAGTGTTGGTCAGACCTCTAAGCACTGACCAACATGACATGAGAAACTCTGGCAATTGATCAGGTGGCTGTTGATCTGTTCGCCGAGCTTGGCAATTGATTTGCAAACGTTTCGTCACCATTCGAGGAGACATCTTCAGTGCGCTGTTGGTTGGGTCTGAGTACCACGTGGACACCTCCCGGTGTTGAATCTAACTTGACCTTATGATAATTCCCCCATTCATTTGCTTACTCCGCCTATGTACTTTTGATCTCCAGCTGTTTTGCTTTTTCGTACCCGTCAAAGTGTTGGGACATGCGGAGAGAGTAATCTAAATTGGATGATGGGGTAGAAGAGGGAAAACTTGAAAGTACCAGTAGCCTGTTTTCGCTTACCAACATCGCTGTATGGAGCAAGTAAGGCGCCCCAGCAGGTGACACCACGCAGCGGACAATGTGGCATGAGAGTACTGTTAGTTGTAAGTGTCATGGTTGTACGTAGGCTGGGATACTGCCAAGACACCCAGACAACTAGGTACCTCGACCAAAGCCTGACCGGAAGGCAGCGGTGTTTGGCGGGAAATGCAAACGCATTAGCATTTTTACGGAACAAGTCGCCCCACGTGTTCAAAAAGCCCAACCTGGAGGGCCAGGAAACAGTGTTGGTCAGACCTCTAAGCACTGACCAACATGACATGAGAAACTCTGGCAATTGATCAGGTGGCTGTTGATCTGTTCGCCGAGCTTGGCAATTGATTTGCAAACGTTTCGTCACCATTCGAGGAGACATCTTCAGTGCGCTGTTGGTTGGGTCTGAGTACCACGTGGACACCTCCCGGTGTTGAATCTAACTTGACCTTATGATAATTCCCCCATTCATTTGCTTACTCCGCCTATGTACTTTTGATCTCCAGCTGTTTTGCTTTTTCGTACCCGTCACTCACCTTGCTGCAGAGGCCGTCCTTTCCGACACTTGTGTATTGGCATGTGTGTCTGTGTGTGAATGTGCGCTGCTGACCTAATTACCCATGTGCGTTCACGTCCCGTTTTCTGAGCCTGCCTTGACTTGTTTTCTCATGGGTTCCGCGTGATCGCACGTCCAATGAGAATCATGAGACTGTCGTCGGAAGGAACGACTGAAACCCACGCCACTGGGCCGTCATTCCGCTCGCCGTTGTTTGGTGTGCGGACGTAGACCCTGTACTGTGTCGGTCAGTGACAGACCTGTGAACTTGTTGACGCGCTACGAACGTGAACAATTGAGGTCTGTTGTACACATTTGCTCACCCTCGAGCAAACAGTACCGTAGAATTACGAACCCCTATTCTCCCTTTTGATATTCGGGATTGTCGAGCCTACGCGCCACTCAAAGTTCCGTACCAAGAACCTCAACACCCAGTTTAGCTCGAAGGGTCAAGGAAGGACACAAACCATCACATCATGGAAAGGTCCATTTTTTCATGACGGATAAGGCGCATGATTACTAAATTATGCGGAATATTCCGTCAAACACGCGTAAAAACTACAGCGAAGGTCTGAGTTCTGATGGGTTACCTCACCTTCGGTAACATCCAAAAGCGTTTCCCAAATGAAGACACTACATCACACCAAATCCGTAACACTTAAGGGTGGGGAGAGGCTTTAGGATAGTGCATAGAAAAGTTCGGCTAGATATGAACAGTACGATACAGACGGACGTTGAGGAGCTTACCTTGAACAAGTGCTCATAGGCACCATCCACAAGACCATAAAAAAGGAGATATGGTTTGAAGCTAAGGAATCTGACTTCCGGGTCCTGCTGGGTGTCCGACTTGGCGCCCTGTTTGAGGCGACCACATGCCAAGTGGATCAGGCGACGCAACAAAGCCACACGGTTTCGCTGCCACATTTCCGGTGGCCACACGTGGAGTGCTGTGACGGTGCGGTATAACGGGCCCGTCGAATTCCAGCAATGATCGGTAGAAGACCAGCTAGAAAATGGAGAAGAGAATAATCGGGAAAACGATTTAAACACGGCTTGTGGCGACGGAAGTTGCATAGTTAACCGGTTGAGATATTGTCCGCAGCAGTGCCGAATTTCGCTGAAGCCACCCTTTTGAGTACCAAAAATAAACTTTTACAGCGATGAACTGAATGTTGTACACTTTCACGTCGTCACCAGCCTCAAAGAAGGCTTACCCCCCCCCCATTGCGTTGCTCACCTAATGCTTGTTCTACCCCCATGGTCAGCAGGAATGTGACAAACGTGCACAAATTATGACTGACCTTACAAACAGAGTGTTCGGAGGCAAGCCGTCCCTAACATCACATCATTTGGACGGATGTGTTACGTGCAGGACATGGGTCAAACGAAGGCCAGAATGCCAGCCAATCCGAGTCGAGCACCTTCGACTCGACGCCTCTCGCCCCTCACGGAGATTCTGGCACGACCTTGTGACTACCCTATAAATAAAGTTGCAGTAATTTTCCTTTGTCTCCATAAGGGGCTGTGTAGAGCTACCGTGCCTTTTGATATAGCATAGTGGGTGGAGAGGGAAGCCAAGGGACCGATACAGAGTTTCACGACCGTTCAGCAAGACACAACACAGAGCCCGACATGCATATTGATAAATTGGGCTAAATTACCCTCAGATTTGCGAGGGGTGGATGTACTTGTCTGTGGAGTGGGCGACCAACCTGTCTACTACATGCGTAGGCGGCCTCTGTGAAGTAGAGTTTCCAAACACCACAACGGTTGCGACTTTTCACCAAACTCGCAAAGATCCAAGTTGGTGGCTCGCTCGTAACCGGGGGATGTGTCCTTTGGGTAGGCTTTTCGGGATTGCAAGAGGGCTGTTTCGGGTGGGCGGGTGTGGTTTTGCCGTGAAAAAATTAAAGCGGTGTTTGCACCACTTCAGTCATTCCGCTGATGCAAGCGCATTAATCTGGTGTGACTGAGTGTGTACTTATCATAATTTTTTAAACGCCCGATGAAAGAGGGTCTGGTTTAAAGATTGGAAAATCGTTCAGCTGTAGCACCCCTTTGGTGCTTAACTGCCATGCCACCAGAAGGAAGCACGAGGACTGGGATACTGTCAGGCTGTCTAAGCTTAGACGAGAGGCGGAGATCGGGTTCGAACCACGGACCTGTCGGTCAACATTCAACACTCCCACTCTTGAAGAAGGTCAAGACTTAGAATGCTACTCATAAGGTTGCTGAAAACCCTTTGATATGAGGCGTCCCGGCGCAGCATATTTAGTTGAAAAACACTACAAATGAGAGAGATTCAGCAGCGACTTGGGTCAGTCTCCCGTAAAAACAAACTTCGAAAGTCAGGACACCCAAAGTTCATTGTGGAACACCCAAACAGCCAATGCAAGGAGGAAATGCGGACGATCACAGGACTTACTGAGATTCCGGTAGATCCAGGAATTCTTTCAACTCGTTCACCTTTTGGGTAACTGCGGAGCTCATTAACAAAGAATGAAGGCCGACCTTGGAGAAGGAATGTGACAAACGTGCACAAATTATGACTGACCTTACAAACAGAGTGTTCGGAGGCAAGCCGTCCCTAACATCACATCATTTGGACGGATGTGTTACGTGCAGGACATGGGTCAAACGAAGGCCAGAATGCCAGCCAATCCGAGTCGAGCACCTTCGACTCGACGCCTCTCGCCCCTCACGGAGATTCTGGCACGACCTTGTGACTACCCTATAAATAAAGTTGCAGTAATTTTCCTTTGTCTCCATAAAGGGCTGTCTAGAGCTACCGTGCCTTTTGATATAGCATAGTGGGTGGAGAGGGAAGCCAAGGGACCGATACAGAGTTTCACGACCGTTCAGCAAGACACAACACAGAGCCCGACATGCATATTGATAAATTGGGCTAAATTACCCTCAGATTTGCGAGGGGTGGATGTACTTGTCTGTGGAGTGGGCGACCAACCTGTCTACTACATGCGTAGGCGGCCTCTGTGAAGTAGAGTTTCCAAACACCACAACGGTTGCGACTTTTCACCAAACTCGCAAAGATCCAAGTTGGTGGCTCGCTCGTAACCGGGGGATGTGTCCTTTGGGTAGGCTTTTCGTGATTGCAAGAGGGCTGTTTCGGGTGGGCGGGTGTGGTTTTGCCGTGAAAAAATTAAAGCGGTGTTTGCACCACTTCAGTCATTCCGCTGATGCAAGCGCATTAATCTGGTGTGACTGAGTGTGTACTTATCATAATTTTTAAACGCCCGATGAAAGAGGGTCTGGTTTAAAGATTGGAAAATCGTTCAGCTGTAGCACCCCTTTGGTGCTTAACTGCCATGCCACCAGAAGGAAGCACGAGGACTGGGATACTGTCAGGCTGTCTAAGCTTAGACGAGAGGCGGAGATCGGGTTCGAACCACGGACCTGTCGGTCAACATTCAACACTCCCACTCTTGAAGAAGGTCAAGACTTAGAATGCTACTCATAAGGTTGCTGAAAACCCTTTGATATGAGGCGTCCCGGCGCAGCATATTTAGTTGAAAAACACTACAAATGAGAGAGATTCAGCAGCGACTTGGGTCAGTCTCCCGTAAAAACAAACTTCGAAAGTCAGGACACCCAAAGTTCATTGTGGAACACCCAAACAGCCAATGCAAGGAGGAAATGCGGACGATCACAGGACTTACTGAGATTCCGGTAGATCCAGGAATTCTTTCAACTCGTTCACCTTTTGGGTAACTGCGGAGCTCATTAACAAAGAATGAAGGCCGACCTTGGAGAAAGGAAACACAAGGAAATGAGTGAGGAACATCGTTCTGAGGCAAACAGTACCCGTAAAATCAGCAAATGAGTACACACAACCCAACGTATCACCGGGTAACAGGCTCTGATGGATCCAGTCTGATTGGATGTGAACAGCACTGTTGCTCTGACCATTATTCCACTGGCCTTTTTCAGAGGACTTGAGATAAACCTACCAATTCCAACTGGCAACCGATAGTTATAGTTTGGTCTCATTCGAACTATGGGGCACAAAACCGTAAGGAAAAAGTCTGAGTTTTAAAGACTTTTGGAGGGTTGATCTTAGGACTACAGGATATTCACAGTATGTTGAACGGCAAACTCTTGTCACCATCCGAAAGCTTAGCGACCTAGCGTTGAAGGCGCTCAATCGAAAACTTGCTCTGTCCTTCAAAACAAAACTTCTACTGTTAGGCGGAATCCCGGACAAATACCGCTTTGCCGCTCGCACTCAGGCGCTGCTACAGCCTATCCCGCACAAGCTTCGCCAAAAGTCCGGGCCGCTTGCTGGCCCGGCAGTGAGGCGAGCTCTGATTGGTCGGGTGCCTGGACTGAACAGCCAGTCACAACTCAGTATTCGCCGAACACAGGCGTCAGAAATTCCAAAGTGCTGTAACGGCGGACAATTCATTCGCTTCACTACCAAAAAACAAATGGCCTCAATTCGAATCACAAGAGCCAGTTGAGAGGAATCATCTTCATTTCGCCCCCCCACCATCATCCAGCACAAATGCGCCAGAAATCGCAATGTTCATGGCCTTCGACACAGAGGAGACATTTGTAGGTCTCCGTATTTATTTTCACTTCACTGCAACTATCTTTGTATCCTAGCAAGTTTGCCAGACTTCAGATGCATGGCTTGTGAACACATGTGGAGTATTTTGGTCCGAACGAGGATCGGTTGTGGAAACAGAGTCCAGATGTGAAAACTGGATAAAAACGATCCGAGACAATGTGGGTCGGTTCGAAGTGCGATTGATGTTCACCCAGTGCCCGGATTTGGTAGTCCTCTATCAAAATGCGTCGTGTCAACCTGAACTGATCCACCTACAAGTTCATGGGTGACCATTAGATAAAATTCTCCCAGAGGCTTTTCGGCTGTTCGATTTATCGGAACGTTCTCAGATCTTTATTGGAAATTAAGCAATGAACACAATGAGCCTCAACAGTGTCCTTTATTGCAGGGTTGTAGTACAAAAGAGTGGTGATTTTTGCGGGAGACAATACGGAACATACTGTGAGAGAAAACGTCTCCTTTGAGGACGGAACTACTCACTTGCATCAAATGAGGTAGAAGCTGCATGTTGCTTTCCGCTCCACCACCACCCGTTTCCGAATGGAACTGTCGATTGCAGGCAAATCGCAGAAGCAAGATTTTCACATCGTGCAAAGCCATCAGATAGCCAGGACTGACGTTCAGAGAACGCTGAAACGATTGAGGATGGGATGCGGACAAATGAATTAACTTGGATGAACGCAAACCACAATGCAACGCAGATCACAAACGGGCCAATAAATGCGCGAAAAACGCTGGCAGCTAACTAGCCAATAACGTTAAGAGATAACAGATAGCCTCTAAATGCTATATAAACACACGTAGGTATACAGAAGGTACCCACCCATCTGCACACTGATGGTGTCTCCTCGTATGGCGACGCAACGTTTGCAGTTCAATTGCCAAGCTCGGCGAACAGATCAACAACCAATCACCACCCAACTATCACAAACCTGGTTTATTGACACAACAGCAAGAGAAACAATCGTGATAATAGTAATAGCAATATTAATGGTGGGATTAAGAACTAAAGTACGTAGCTGTTCAACCTCTAAGTTGTCATGGGCAGAGTGGAACATCATGCACGATTTTCCAATTCACGTCAGATGATACAGCTTGCAACAGGTGATACGAATGAACAGATGGAACACTCACCATGATGTAATCCATGAAGTTAGCCAAGTGCCCGGCGTACACTGTTTCCGGAGCAGGTGGCTGATCTTTCTTCGCTTTTGCCCTAGTCTCAGAGGATGCAGCACCGAACGTACCAGCTGGAGGTCCGAGAATCGGTAGGATGTTGTTACATCGCGCATCTCGGTTGTGTCTTTGGGCTACAATCCACTGGTTTTCGAAGGAAGCCTTTAGTGACTATGAGAAGAGCAAAATGGAGGTCAACGGAGGTGTGGGAAACGCACATCGTGCGCCTGTCACTAAAACTTGGGCGAGTCTGGACTGGACAGTAGAAAGTTGCGCAACTTACGTTGAAATGACAGGAAAAGTGTACTACGACAAAACTGGACAGGGTAGAATAGCCTTGGGGTATGGATATTGGCGGGGCGGGGGACTGATCACTCTCGGCTCCGAAAACGAGTACTTCTTCCAGCGGACACTGGCGGACGAACACATAGATGCCCAAAGCTTCGTCGGGAGCATTCCGAAAACCCTCGTGACAGATTGCGCAAGACAGTCCAACCTCTTCAGTGACGACGGCGGTCATTTTGGCCAGGCGATCTGACTCCACGACGGCAACCTTGAGGAGGAAAAACAAAGACGGAAGAAAATTGGTCAGAACCATTCGTGCGAACGGCAAATTGACGATGTTACTTGAGAGTCTTTGGATATCAGCAAGGCACTGTCTGAAACTTCGACCCTTGCTCGCTGGCGGCTACAGACATGTTCGAATGCACCGCTTCGGGAAGGGAGGTAAAGCAAGCTAGGAGATCTTCGTCGGTTACCGTGGAATGAGAGTGAGATCAGATGTTTTTGGTCAAGATAGCGGCTTTGCAGCCTGGATGATATCAACCCAACCACAGTGGGAACCCTCATGAAACTGCAATGGCTGGTGGAAAGTGGATATTTGTTCCTGTTTGGAAAAGCGAAAAAGGACACTTCAAAAACATGTCGACCTTACTCACATTGCCTTTTTCATCCACACGCATGTTCATACTGCGCAACTGACGTTCGCGCATATTTCTCGCAAGTCGCCGAGTTCGTTGGTTAGTGGCCTTTCGAAGTAGGTGTATCTTCTCTGCCAGAGTTCCACTCGGCTCAGCCGGAGTTGACGAAGCAGCTGAACTTTCCGATTTTGTCCGATTTTCTGCGAGCAAAGCCTTCTTCGACTTTTTGGTTTGTCTCGGGCACCATTCGCTCAACATATCTTCAGCAAGTAGGCCTACACGACCAGCAGACTTGCTAGACTCCAGGAGATGGAAGAACTGTAACAAACGATCAGCAGTGATTCGGGCTCGATTCGAGTCAGAGATGGGTTTATAGTGTTCGGGTTGAGAAAGGGATTCGGCGTTTTCCTCGGGGCCGAGACAAGCACGCAACGCTTGCAGTATATGCGGTAATGCGGGCAGGGCTAAGAAGGGTGCAATCCCCGGATCGCCGGTGCTGTACGGGATGACAAGGAAAATAGAAAGCCGTTGAGTTTATGCGGATGTTTGAGAGAGGATTACAAGTTCCCAAAAGATTACTCAAAAGTTGAACCAAGTGAGTTCCCAGAGCTGCTACGGAACTAGCGGGGTGCCCAGGATGAGTGTGACCAAGCCACGTACGGACGGGAAAAACCCGTCTAAAATGGACGAGCCGACCAACTATCAACTCTAAACCAGGCAAGCGTTATCAACTCACTTGAGCGTAGTTCCTTCTTCAAAATCCAGAACGCATGTAGGAGTTGTCTCCCAAAGGAAGTGAAGACAAGTCTCCAGAATACCAGCTTCGTGGACGATTTTCTGACGCAGCAATGAGCCATTCCGACTGTGTCGTGGAACGGCTACCATGATCGCGCAGCAGCAATCCAGTAGGGCCGTTTCGTTTCGCGTGAACTGTGCTGTTGGGCTACAAGACGAAGTAAAATGACTGTCATTTAGGACCTTTCGAACATGGCATGGAATCTGCGTGGCTAGACAAAAAACTGTCCAGCTGTAGCACTTTTTCGGTGCTACATGAAGGAAGCACGAGGTCTGGGATACTGCCAGGTTGCCCAAACCTAGACAGGGGAAGTTGAGTGGCAGAGGTCGGGTTCGAACCACGAACCTTCCGGTCGGTAAATTCGCGCTCTAATCACTTGGTCCATCTTGCCCATCAGAACGGGCTAGCATGACCATCAACTGTCGTTCTAGATGATGTACTGTCTGAAAGGTATTGATTGTGGCAATTCCACGTGCACTGGAGCACATAAAGACTTTGAAAGCATTTCGACGCCTCCCAACTGGGTCATGAAGTGCACTGGTAAACTTTGTGGGTCTCAAGGACCAGGTCGAACTAGTCTTTTGTATTTTCCGATTCGTACATACAGAGGTTCGGTTGATGCGAGTCGCCGGAAAACTTGACCGTTCGATCAAGCTCACCCAGTTTGTACGTGCACTGTTTGGAGTACGGTCTGTGGAAGATGCTGTCCGCGTAAACACCGAGGAGATTAATCCGTATAGTCTCGGTGTTGATGGGGTATTGTGGTTGAGAGAGGGGTTGATAGTTTAAGCAAACTACGAGTATGAGTCATTTCTGTCCAACAACGGAATAGCTTGGTCTGCATGTCTAAAGTACTGAAGCCATTGGTTTACCCCCAAATCATTTGTAACATCGTTGATGAAAAGACGCCAATGTCATAAGTGGGAGTGAGGTGGCTCGGTGGTTCGAGTGCGAATTTACTGACCGAAAAAACCGCGGTTCAACCCGACCTGTGAGGTGGCTCGGTGGTTCGAGTGCGAATTTACTGACCGAAAAAACCGCGGTTCGAACCCGACCTCTAGACTTCCCCTGTCTAGGTTTGGACAACCTGGAAGTATCCTGGCCCCCGTGCTTCCTATGGGTGGCATGGCAGCTGGGCGCCGAAAGGGTGCTACAGCTGAACGATTAGTATGGTTCTATTATTACATTTATTATAACTCATAGTAGAAATCGGTAGTAGACTCGCAACGCCATCGGATACAGGTTATCAAGGTGAAATAATTCACTCAACTGTACCCAGAGAGTCAGAGTTTCGAGCGGTGATAGTATCATTCTCTATCTCCACTCCAAATTCGGACAAAAACAGCAAGGTCCGTGGTATAAGAAAGAAAGGCTGGACTGGATACTACTAAGGGAAATGATTACAGAGAGCCTCTCGATATACATAGTGTCATCGTTACAAGTTGAATGTGAGATAGCTCTGGCAGGCCCGTCGGTGCTTTATCTCTCGTTTGTGGACGTTCACTTTGAGAAGTATCTCCTGCGATTCCACAGTGATCACTGATCTGTGCACGAAATTTCACGTGCCGCGGATTGTCTATACTATACTATACTCTGTTCCAATTGGTCCAATGTTCGACGCAGCAAGTTCCTGTCTCCATTGTCATGCAGGATGAGTAGGGTACGACCTGGTCTATGAGACAGAGCCTCGCCTCACCTTGTACGACGGACCCATCTTTTGCCGTTTCACGCTATCCGAATGTACCAGTTGGGGTGTTCGACGCAAAAAATACAGGCAGACAGCGAGAATGCTTCTCTACTCTGTGTCTCACACTTTGTCGCGACGGCAAAAGTCGCGGTTTGAGAAAAGGGGGAAGTTTGCTTTTGTGTTACTGGTGCAGATTGACTTGAATTAGACCCGGAGATAGTAATTCAAGGGAGCGAAGTCTCAAACACAGATGAGCATTTGGCAATTTCCGGTTTTTAGTCGCCCAAAGATTGGGATCGAGAGGAAATTTGATGGAAACGTCACTGTACTCGGTCTGCAGCATCGACCACGCAAACTACCTTTACAGATACCGTAATCGGACGCCCAGTTGCGGTGGGTTGAAAGGTGATACGAGCTCTCTAGCACATGAAAGTAATAGTTTGTGAAGATATGGACGGGTCATCCTTGAAGTCAGCTTTTAGTCTAACATACGCCAATGAAAATATCGATGTGAGACTTCGGCGCACCAGGAAGACTGTAGGGTCGACTGAGAACAACAAAGATTAAGCTAGCTGGCAAACTCAAAGTTACCTCAGAATGCACCGGCGACCTCGCGGCTACTGTGCACTTAGGCTAACTTACTGAATGAAACATGAGGCGGCCTGGTGCAGCACATTCAGTTGCCCGAAAACATCACAAACGAGAGATTCAGCTGGGTTCCAAGTGAGTCTCTTTTGAAAAACCAAATTAGTTTGCAACTGAGTGTAGTTCGCCAACTTACTTCAGCTTGTTCAAATGTACTTTCAGAAAGTCCACGATGGCATTCATTTTTTCTCGGTCACCGAACGCCAACCAACCAAGAAGGCCGGCAACATCCGTGTTGACCACGGGTAGATCGGGGCGTGCTGACATGCAGTTCAACAGTTTTTGTACACAATGCAAGTCACCTGAGGGGGGAGGAAGAGTCGAACGAATAAAAATCGGTGAGATTCCCGAGATATAATCGATAGGTGACTCCCCTGCTGTAGCAGGACCGTCAGATTATGGTTCATACAGCCAGACAGAGTATTTTGAATATCGTGACTTTTGAAAGCAAAGCGAACTGACCAGACAGTATGGAAAATGAAGCTGACTTCACACAGATTATGAAAACCTCAAAAACCTTCGCAAAATATATATCCGTGTTAGCGTGGGTCGGAGTGAAATCATTGTAGAGGCTGAGCACTTTGTCTCAAGGACAAAAATAGGGGCCACAATCTATGCACAGGTCAGTGCATCGACGGGTAGTGACATATGTAACCGGTAGCACTTGTGCCACCGATCGGAACAGCCATCGCCCGAGGTCCAAACTTGGGAACGGTAGTCAACAGTGGAAATTTAAAGGATACCCTAAGTTAGCATTCAACACATCCCTGGTACTGAGGCGAACTAGCCGATAACACCACTCTGTTACGTATAGCTGTGAGTGGGAACCATCAATCACCGAAAACACTCGAGTGGATTGCAACTACACTGTTCACGTCACAAGGTCAATATGCATAATTCCAAGGAGCAACACACTAAAACTACACACCCACCTGTATTCAACACCGGTTGTTGATCAGATGTGCTGGAAGCTGGATGGACAATCTCATCGGCCAGTTGGAGGAGCGGATCGATAATCTGGATGAGCCGTTTGGTGATATCCTCATGAAGATCCGACACTGGCTGGTTCGACTGAGTTTCGTCTGCTTGGAGGCACACAGTGAGGACGTTCAGTAAAATTGGGAGCGAGCTATTAGATCAAGGTGGTGGGAAACAGAGGTTAGAAGTGGGAATCAGAATCAGTCGTAATAGGCTGGCTAGAACGGAGCGACAAGTTGGACGCTTGTGAATACACTCACTTC